TGAAGTGATAACTTCTTGTGGAAGGATAAACCGCTTCGTTACCTAACGTAACGGCGCGCGCCAGTTTGTCCTACTTTCCTTTCTCTCACGCATACGTCAGTGGAAGGCAAGCTTCTCCTCTCTCGTCGGACAGACGCTCACGGCCTGGCCACGGGGATCGGCGGTGCGAACGTCGAAGCGGCGGGCGAGGCGACCATTCGCGCGGCACCGTTTGCAGGCCACGGGCAGTCACGTTCGCCGCCGCGACCAGTAGTCCGACAGCGAAATGTCTTTATCGAAATTATCTCGATATTGCTTAGAAAGTAATAATTTTTTGGTTCAAGACCTAATATTTGAAAGAGATTGTGGAGTACATGATTTGAATAAGAATCGGGGTTTAGATGGAGAGAAATACAGATTCAATCCAGAAATTTTTTTTGAGTATATCAGAATGAGTATTGAAACCTTCGATTGTTTTTGACATTAAGATGTGTACTTACCTATCTATACATATCCATCTATATTAATCTACATTACGTATTTATCTGTATACCTATGTATAAAAGTAATATTTAATCATCTGATCATATTTTGGGGAATTACCTAATATCCATTAGTATGAACAACTTTTTCCAAGAAAGTAATGGTCGCAAACGGATTTTTTATAACAAAATTAATTTGGATATCATCAGCTAATTAAATGTTATCCTATATATTAATATCTAATGAAATAAAAACATAAAGCAACTTCTAACTTGTAATTGAGGGTAGAATGAATAATGAATTTATAACTTTTTAATCAGCAATAAAAGTCTCGGTGTTGATTTTTCGCGGCGAAAACAACTAAACTCGTTTAATCACTGCACTATTCGCCGCGTCTGCCGCTCGACTCCGTGGCTCGCGCCGTACAGATTCATGCATTTGTTTTGCTCGCCGGTCGCGCCGCAAGTCGCCCACGCGATTCGCTCGGTACATTTCGCTGGTCGATTCGCCGGTCGCCGTTGCGCGTGGCTTCATATGTACATTGCTATGCGTTTATTTCAGTCGCTAGACGCTTTGCCGTTCGCACCGTGCGAATATTCGCATTGGCGAATGTCCCGTGGCCAGGCTGTGTCAATTGTGCGTTATACACATACTGTTGACAGTATTATAAAAATCTAACCCGCAATCACCTAATATTCTTTTATTATGGGAAACGTGGTCTAAAAATGATGATACTAATTTTGTGTATTTACAATATATGTACATACAAAAAATAATCAATAAAATATTTCATTAATGAATAACCTTTCTTATATATTAATATACATAAAATTTAAGTAAAAACCCAAGCTTTTCTAAAGTTAAACAATTTCAATATTACATACTTCAATTTAGATTAGTTTAAGTTATCAATTGTATCGGGCGTTCCGAAACGCACACGTTTTTTTTGTATTTTGATAAACTCGTCTCGAACATATGTCCACAGTCTCAGCTGTTCAGCACGTTTAGTTTGTTGGTGAGAGACATGAAAGTCAGAAGTGTTTTACGTGTTCGGCGCGATTTTCTGCTTTCGAAAAAAATGGATAAAAGAATTTGCATGAAATCTTGTGTAAAAATAAGAATTCAGTGCTCAAAAACACTCTTGTTTACAGTGGCATACGGTGATTGTACTCTCGAGTCAGAAAATGGTGCTCAAAAACACTCTTAACGTTTGCAGTGGCATACGTTGATTGTACTCTGAGTCAGAAAATGTTTACAAGTGATACAAGCTTTTCATAGAACGTCGAGAATATGTGAATGTCGATGCTCGCCCTGGACGCCCCACCACATCAACAACCGATGAAAATGTTGAGAAAGTGAAGGAAATTGTTATGGAGAAAGAATCGTCGAGTCACTATTAGAGAAATTGCTGAGGATGTGGGCATATCGGTTGGTTCATGCCAAACAATTTTTTTCGAAAAATTCGGGCATGAAGCGTGTGGCAGCAAATTTCGTTCCGAAATTGCTGAATTTTGACCAAAAACCGTCGTATGGGCATCACTCAGAAATTGTTGAATGGTGTCAATGGCGATCCAGATTTGCTTGAAACTGCTGACGAATCACAGATACTTTCAATAAGGAGTATTATGTTGAAATTATGCGCCGTTTGCGAGAAGCAATACTAAAAGAAACCTCCGGTATTGCGAAAAAACAGTTCAAGGCTTTTGCATAACAATTTTGCACCTGCTCACTAGTCATTGCTTGTTCGTAATTTTTCGGCCAAAAACAACACCGTAATTTTGCCTCAGCCACCGTAATCACCAGATTTCGCCAGCTGCGACTTTTTCCTGTTACCAAGATTGAAGAGTCCCATGAAAGGACGGCTTTTTGCGACGTTTCTTTATATCAGAACTGTTTCGAGAATTGAAAAAAACGCTGGCAGACTTCTTTGAAGGGGAAAAAGTAGAAATTGGTGAATAAATAATAGTTATTTATTATACAAGGGAAAAAAGTATTAGATTTTAGCTCGAGGTTGTGTTGTCTCCCGACGCGAAGCGAAGCAAAACCAATCAATAGAAAATCAAATATCTGTCAATTTAATTCTGTGATTTGATTTAAAAATTGCGAACTTAGTGGTCAGTTGTTATTTTGAAAAATGTCTAATTCCGAGTTTTCTCTGACTCCACCGGAGTTAGTAGAAGCAGCGAAAGTAGCGCCACAAAAATTATTGTCGACTAAATCGCAGAAAATTTATGAAACCGCGTATTCAAGATTCATCGTGTGGAAGATGAAAAAGACATGCAGTTCTTTCTCGGAGACGGTGTTATTGGCTTATTTTTCGGAACTGGCACAACAACAAAATCCATCAACAATGTGTGGTCGAATTATTCAATGATTAAAAGTATGTTACAATCCAATAATAATGTAGACATTTCAAAATATTTCAAACTAATTACACGCCCAATAAAGCTGCGATATTTACGAATACACATATTAGTGACTTTTTAAATAATGCTCCCGATGAAGTTTATTTAATGGCCAAGGATGTTATTGTATTCGAGAATGCAGGAGCTTGAAGATTCGGGAACGTTATTAGTTGTGAAACTCAAGCAAACAAAGAATGATGTGAACAGGAGAATTTTAGTTACTGAAGAATATATTAAATTTTACCGAATTTACATAGCTCTTCGTCCAGCAGAAGCAAAGGATCGCCGCCTGTTTTATGCATATCGCAATGGAAAATGTATCAATCAGGTTGTGGGTAGCAATCAGTTTTATAAGGTACCTGAAGTAGTGGCTAATTTTCTTCAACTTGAAAATGTCAATTCATATAAAGGTCATTCATTTCGAAGATTGCCTGCTACACTTTTAGTTGAATCTGGGGAAGACTTGATGACACTGAAGAAACATGGCGGTTGGAAGTCATCAACGGTCGCTGAAGGGTATGTTGATGAATCGGTAGCACACATGACAGAAATAGCGAATAAAGTGTTACCAGGTGAAAAAAGTACTCACTTTTTTCCCGGGGAAAAGTGACATCAGAGATAAAATGTCAAACTTTTTTCCCGTCACAGAAAAAATATTTTTTTATAAAATGAAAATTCACCTTATTTTTTGAACAGACCTCGTATATCGTTGTTCTATCTGTATACCACCCGACCTTGGAGAAATAAAAATAACAAAAATTTTAAAATACAAGTGAAAACATTGATATTACTAAACCTCGATATATTCCGATAAATAAAATTTAAATAATGGTATATTTATTCATTCAATTGATTCCGTGGTGCACCTAAAAGGCATAAAAGGAAAACCAATCCCTGTTGTCTCCGTTGGTTCCTCTTCATTATTACAACAAACTCCTTTTTGACTGATTATATACTCTATAATCGCAAATAATTTACATATACAACAAATTAAAAGAAACTGGAAGGATGCCGAAATGCATCTTTGCCTAAACAATTTTTGCTTCTAAACCAGATGCCTCTATATAGCAGTAACCAAAATATATGTATTCTTATCAAATAAGTTAATAAATTGAATTGAATATAGTAGTGTCTTATGGTCCCAATATTCAACGATACATCAGACTTTAACAGTAAACAAGAATACTAACATGGCTAATTACCAACTTCAAAAGTCTAAGGTTATACCTAAAAAACATGTTTTCAAATTTATTCAAGAGGCACGGAATGATTGATACGTTTTCAAAGAACAAAGTAGGAAAAAAATTCGTGGTGAACATACTAGAGACAAAAACCGATGAAAAGCTCGTTCAACCATCGTTAACGAAAACGAAATGAATACTTCAAGAGATTGAGAATCTTTATGGCCACGCTGAAGTGCCATGGTGGATGGAATCGTATGTTGGTTGCTGAATAATGTGCGTAGAACAGTATACGAGTATCTTCAAAAAATGAGGTTTCAAGGATGCTGTAGTTAAAAGTCCTGGCTGGCATTATCTTAGCAGACGATGAAACATAAATCAACAACGTTGACTACACACAATCTATTATCGGATCCTTCCAGAATTGACCAGTTTGAAGGCAGCCATTGGTTTCAGCTACGAATTGGAAGATCCGGCATTTTGATTAAAAAAATCATGTTTTGAAAAAAACTCGTGCGGTTGGGAATATTTTCACATAAAACGAAGGTATTCGGCGTATTCAATTATATCTTCACGGTCCTTGATTTTGTTGCGGAAAAATACTGGCTGGCGATGAAATTATTGTTCTAAAAGACAACTTAGCTATGAATTTTAACGACCAATGGTGGCTTGGCGCACTCCTTTCCGTTAACGGTAAATTCCCCCAATTCGTGGCTGAAACCCATGGCTGCCTTCACACTGGTCCAAAATTGACAGTTTTAGTGAATTCCACCCGATAATCTGGTCCATTCCAATAATTTCATTTACGTGTTTGTAAAAAATTAAGCAAATATACCTACAACAAAAATGCACCCTGTTTTACCCAAAGAAAAATTTATCAATTTGTTTTCGATCTAGGAGTGAAAAAAAACTTATCAACATCAAAATAATATATTTCCAAGTAATAACTCACCATTCTATCCCTCTCATCTTCGATTTGATTGAGCAAATCAGCAAAATTGCTCAAGGAAGCACAAATAACCTGTTCATCATCGGTTTGAGTACCCCCTACACATTCGAACGTAAAACCTTTGAGACATTCCGCAAAAGAACGTTGAGCTCTTCCTAGAACTGAAAAAAAAAGATGTCATAATCTACATACTTTTCATATAGATATAGCTAATATTCTCAGGCAACTTTATCTTTTGTTTCTTCTTTGAAAAGTTCAGCTTTTCTTGTAATGTTGTTCAGTGACAACTTCAAAGGCAATTCCGAAAAGGCTGTAGAGTTTTTTTGAAATCTGATCATTTGGTATACCTACTTATATTCTCTCTCATTATCTGGTTCCAGAACTAAATTTCAATCTCAATTAAAATGCTTTTCATTCACTGTCTCTTATTTGTTTTTGTTCTCTTAACTTTATCTTACTCTACGAGGATGGTGTTGTTCTCAGTCCAAGAGAAACAAAGTCCAAGGTTTCAAATATAAAGTATAATACGTAAAACGACTTCATGGACAGAATGAAAAAACAACGTGTAAAATCTTATAACAGAAAAAATGTAAAATTCTATTAAATGAAAGAAACTAGAACAAAGGAATTACCGACAATTTGACCCTGCTATTTACTATTAATTTAACCTGTTGAATAACTACAAATGCACCAATTCAGTACAAAATACTTTTAGTTTTACTTTTACTTTAGGGAGAGTGGTGTATAACTTCATATTTTCCCCCTTTTTTGTGATTGTATTATGAACTCTAGCTAAACAATCAGCACTAGGAAATAAACAATTTATAACCTCTTTGTACATAGGAAGTGGACTCAGACAAAATAATATGTGAACTCTGTCTCAATATCAACTGGTTAGTAAAAAAAACAAACAGACGCATACCGCCTCTTTGGGTGGTTTATGGTCAACCATAGGTTCTGTATCTTCAACACCAACACTTTTATTTTAAACTCCCCTGTTCCCATTACCGACTTATGATTTCACAACCGATTTTTCTTAAATTTCGCACCACGCGCTTACAAACAAAATAACTCCCCTATTTAGGCCACCTACCTCAGCCTCGAAGGCTGAGGGATGAGACCCCCGACCTCGTATCGACGGGATCCGGTGACTGACTTTCTCTGTCTCCCGCAAAAACTCCCAAGCCCTCGCGTCAGCAACGCTAGCCACAAATACCTCATCTCAGAGTTTTTCAACTTTCCCAAGCGTATGATCATCGGCAGGATGTAGTATATACATTTGTTTAGTCTAGCCCAACTTGTACATAACCACAACGACGCTAAAAGGTCCGACAGTTATAAAGAAGTTCAGCGCTTTTTCAACTGGAAAAATGTCGATACCGAAGAAACGGATGATGGACCTCGATCTCTATGAATGAAATAATATTTTACGTTAACCATCGCAATGGCAGTTATTACAGAATCGACAGTTCTTTTTTTGATAACTTTTTACGAATAGATGTGACAACTGATGTTTTGAAGCCATCTGGGCATTTTCCTTCTTTACAGATATCATTTATGGGACTGGCAAAATATGACCATTTTCTATTGGTTTATTGTTCTAATTATCACTTCTGTAATGGTGAAAAAATTAGAGAACCACTGGGAAAAAATGTAAACCCCGCTAGAATGGTAACACTTCTCCCATAATATTTACGGGTATCACTTGCTTCTCGTGAAGGGAAGTTTCAAACTGACCCCCGGTATCTTGGTGACCTATTCAACAATTTGATTTCTTGATATTCCTTTGAATATTATCATATAACTTGAAATTCATCATTTCCGTCATTCGTAATTACCAGTGTCTTCTCTCATGCACTGAATTATGATCATATGTTTGAGATTGCCGTGTCCTTCTTTATACAATAACAATACAATTATTTCATTCGTAACCTTTTACATTTAAGTGAAAGTCTTACACCGGTACATCAACATTTTGCATTCACTTATACTTTTCGACTATAGGAACCATACTCAACTAGTGAGTAACTCATTTCATTGTGAATGAACATTCACCACAGATTTATAAGAAAGCAAAATATCTCATCATTGTTCGTTAATGGAGAACCACTGCCGACAAAGAAATGCAAATGTGTGGAATTCATTAAGAAAGCTAATAAAATATTTTATTTCTTTTTATAATTTTTTGACGCCGAATAGGAATTTTATTGGGTGCGTTGTTTTTTCTAACTTTCCGCAAACAAATTGTAAGCAATAGATGTTCTTCGATTCTCTAAGAGAATATTGGCGATATGTCCAATGAAGCTCAGGAAACAACCGTTCATTTTCTTGGAGGTGCTTCATGAATGAAGAAATCTAATGCGATTCCGTTAGCTCTAGATACCCAAACAGTGTTTTGCCGAACACGCAGTGTGTTGCGCGTTCGGCGATTTTCTGCTATCGAAGTGCTCAAAAAAAACACTTAAAATGTTGACAGTGGCGTACGGTGACTGTATTCTGAGTCAGAAAATTGTTTATAAGTGGTACAAGTGACGTGACGCTCGCCCTGGATGCCCCAGCACATCAACAACCGATGAGAAAGTGAAGAAAATTGTTATGGAGAATCATCGAATCACTATAAGAGAAGTTGCTGAGGATGTCGGCATATCAGTTAGCTCATTCCATGGCGTGCTGGCTGTCCTTGTTCATCTTTCACTACCTGAACCACTGTGCATGCTGTTTTTGGTGAGTGCATTGGCTTGGGATGTGGGGGTTGAGCAAACCGGCCATCGGATACCTGCTTCCACGTAGCCCCGCTGGATACGGGAATGACAGAATCACTTGTGGTTCTGTTATTACCTAACTGAATGGCATCCCAACGATGCGATGGCTTGATCGTAAGGTGTGTGTATCCGTTCCGAGAGGATGAATGACACTGAGCCTATCAGCTTCGTCGTAGCATCGCCTTGTCACGGTAATGCGGAGCTCTGCCGTGATTGACCTTCTTTCCCTAGCTACTCGTGGGACTTTAATGTACAGAGTAAACATAAAAATTTTTTCTGACGCTAAGTCTACAGAGGAGATGGATGTCGAGCTTACGACACCAAGTGACTTCCCTGTAAATTTAGATCAGGAGCGAGTCTGCAGAGCAGATGGGATGTCGAGTTTACGTTTCCAACTCACCTCCTTGTAAATTCAGATCAGGAGCGACAGCTTTTCAACTCTTCAACTCCTGATCCAATAACAGAACCTAAAAAATGGTTTGATGGTACAGCCAGGAAACGACTGAGTCGTCTCCTCAAGAGCGAGGTACCTTATGAAACCGCCTTGCACCAAATTCTTGAGCGTCTGCGCAGAATCTGTCTCAGGTGGAGAAACAAACCCCCATGAGCCGGTTAGCAAACGTTTGCGCTCAAGTGATGATTCACCAAAACCAGACGCGAAAAAGCCCTTCACGGTTGAATATAAGGCATCGTCAGGTGTGCGGACGTGCAAAAACCCTCATATAGGAAGGTTGTCGCGGGTATCAAGATTGGAATCCTACACCTTGACTATCCGACTACCTCATTAACGATGAAACAGCGGAGCACATACTTTGTGTCTGCCCCGCTGGGGACCGAATCAGGTTTATCTTCTGATCTGAAAGGCCACTCACCATAAGAACTAATCGACTTCGTTGAGGAGCTGGGTTTATTTATTGGAGTGTGAATATGTGTGAGCCACAATAAACCCTTGCGGGTTGCGGTGGAGGGTCGAATAGACCCACTCACTTTAGACCTAACCTAGCTCATGCCATGCAATTTTTAACAAAACCCTATTGCATGAGCATCACTCAGGAATTGTTGAATGACGTCAACAGCGATCTCGATTTACTCAAAAGGGTCATAATTTGTGAAGAATCATCGGTATATGGTTAGAACATCGAAACCAAAGTTCAATCGACGCAATGGAAGAGCATAGAAAAGCCAACACCCAAAAAAGCACACCAAGTTCGATAAAATGTCAAGGTTCTGCGCAGTGTTTTTTTCGATTACCGGAGTTCTTGCCACGGTTAATATGGGGTATTATCTTGAAGTCATTGCACCGGTTGCGAAAAGCAATACGTAAAAAACGTCCAGTATTGTGGAAAAACAATTCATGATTTTTGCATTACGATAATGCACTTGCTCATTCGTCATTGTTTGTTCGTAATTTTTTTGCCACAAAACAACACAGTAATCATGCCTCAGCCACCATATTCACCAGATTTGGCCCCCTGCGACTTTTTCTGTTCCCAAGATTGAAGAGGCCCAAAGTGAAGAGCTCAAAGTGCATATAAGAACTGCTTCGAGGATCGGAAAAAACTTTGGCACAGGCGTATTATATCAGAGAGGGGCTACTTTGAAGGGGACAAAATATAAATTGATGAATTAATAAATATTTTTTTGAGAAAAATGAAAGCTCACCTTATCTTTTGAACATTGTATAGTTAAGCCATGTTTCAGCCAAATCAACTTAACAATCATAAGGTGTGTAAAATAAAAATAGATTTCATATTTTTTCTGTGTTGAACTTTACCGACCTGTATTCAATTTATTTATTGTTTTTTTTTTTCAATCCTACTGACTTCTTGGGCTAAATATTCATCTCACCTTTCACATACTATTCAAAAATATAAAGTGGTTTTTAAAGGAATTGTCATGAAAAATTGGACGAAGAGAAATAAAAGATAACCATTTCGCGCTTCAGTTCGTGAGGGACATAATACACGCGAGGAGAATCCAAGTTATTATTAAACTTCCAAGCACGAATTCAAAACCACGTGTTACGTCGATTATCCAATATTTTGATCGTGCACTTAATCACTAACCGACAAGATGAAGGTAGTGATATCGCTCAAAACTCCTAAGATGCCTACATTTTATTCCGGTGAAGCCCCGTGTACGTGATAATCCATAAGCAGGCAGGATTTCGTCCGAGTAATACATGAATGGAACGGATTAAAAACTGGAAATTACAAACGGGGCAGATTAAGCGCTGTCATAATTCAATTACAATGTTGGTTGAATACCGCCTACGCCTAAGCTGTACCATGAAAATTATTCTAATGAAAGGCAATAAATATGCAGCGAGGCAGTGGACTTTCATTGGTTACTGTCTTGTGGTGTATGATTTACTTGTGGAAAATTACTTATACGTGTAT